GTAGTCTATTTTCCATTGTTCGGAAAAGAAAAAAGAGAATTTCTTATCAATTACTTTATGAACAATAGAAGAGAGAATATTATAAATAAAGTAACAAAATGAAAACGATTTATTTATTCTATTTAGCACCTGAAATCTCATCCTCATCATCTGTTCTACTTCTTCAAAATTCATCATTAGAAAATAGCAATAATAAATTGTTAATCAATGATGAAGAACGTGATTCATCAACTGAACACCATAGTTGTGATGAACGACCACGAAAAGTACGACGTAGTCGAACAACATTTTCAACATATCAATTACATCAATTAGAACGTTCATTTGAAAAAACTCAATATCCAGATGTATTTACACGTGAAGAACTTGCTATGAGATTAGATTTAAGTGAAGCACGTGTACAAGTTTGGTAAGTTAAAATAAAATGAATAATTTTGTGTGTGTGTGTGTGTGTTTTATTCTAAAAAGAAAAATTTTCTTTGATAGGTTTCAAAATCGTCGTGCTAAATGGCGTAAACGTGAAAAAGCTCTTGGACGTGAAAGCCCAAAGTTCATGGGTCCACATGACTTAGAAACATTTCGTCATCAAATGTCAACATATTTATCCAATGCTTTAACAGGATCTGTTAATGGAACAAATCCTAATAATAATCATAATAATAATAATGATCGTCCACATATAGCAGTTCCTCCACCACATTATATACCATTTTTAATGGGTCGTATTGATGAAAAAGTTTTACAACGTTTACCAACAACAGTTAATCATCCAAATCTTGATTTACTTTATCATCATCATTCAACACAATTACCAAATATAAATATATCATCAGCATCACCAACATCATCGTCATCATCATCATCATCGAGTTGTTCAACATCAGATATTCATGAAGATACATCATCTTATTTAACAACATTTGATCATCATAGACGTGTAAAATTAGAAATACAAGATGCAACTGCTTAATACATTTTTAACAAAAAAAAAAATCTTTCTTTTCTTCTTTTTTTTCTCCTTGTTTTCCTAATATTTACAGTGCTTGTACAGTTTATGTGTATGTCTTATTTTTTAAAATATGAAAAGATAAAAAAAAAAGAAAATTAATTTAATTAGTATGTCTGCATTACAGATAATAATTTCAATTTTTTTGTTTTTCTTTTCATCGTAAATCGGTTTATGATTGGTTGAATATTTGTGAACATAAAAATTAGTCTCTTGTGGCGAATGAATAAAAAGAAAATATATGTCAATTGCTTCTTTTCAATAATAAGATATTATATGATTAAATTCATTATAGTATTTCGTGACTTTATTATTCATTTGTATATTTATGATGACAATATAGAAAATTAAGACAAGAGATAAACGGAAATATAAGAAAGAAGGTCGAACTTGTAATTTAACAAGAGGAAGTACGGAAATGTATCATCAAAAGAGAAAAAGAAGGAGAAAAAAAGAGAAAAGAAAACGAATGTATATTTTCATTATTCTACTTTTTATTTTATATTCTTAAAGAATAGAATCGTTTGCATGTTTAACAAGAAAGAGTCTCAAAACTAATCGAATAATCCTGACTAATCTGTTACTATGAAAGACATAATCGTTTTTCCGCTTCATTTATATCCTATTGGTATATGAATAAAAAAAAGAAAACGTAACTATATGTTTATATGACAAGGATTTTGATTCACACTATCATCATCATCAATACCACCTGTCGTGTTATTGAATGAATAGAGCTACTCGAGTTAATTGCGGGCGACTTGAGCTTGTTGGAAATATATATATATATATATATATATACACTCTTATTCTTATATACAAGTGGCTCAATATATAATTGTTCTATCGTTACATATTCTTGTCTCTTTATCCATACACACCCATTGAGATCGTTAATACCCATAATTAGATTCGAGGTTGTTTTATATATATATATATATATATACGTTGAGTTCCTCTTTCTTTAAATACTCTACTTTTACAAATAATAGAACAAAAACGATGATGAGGTCGGTTATATGCGAAGACTATTAGAAGCAAATAATTACAGTATATATGTGCCTTCTATATCTTTAATAACATGCTTATTTATGAATAATTCACAAGAAAATAACAGTAATGTGGACATTTAAGATGAAGATAATGTCGTCAAAGAAGAAGCAATTTGAAGCTTGATTACATCTGATGATGACGATAGTAAGAGCAAGTGCCCGATGCCGATGAATTGCTCATATCCGGTATGCTTTTTATTCTTTAATCATCTCCATCTGCATTTTTTTTGTCATCATCATCATCATATTGATGACAATAAAACAAAAAAAAAGAAACTGAATGAATGTCATCATGAGCAATCGCTAGTTTCAATTGCAATATCCTGTTGTATGTGCATATCACACGATACTCTTCACATCTCTAATTTTGCTTCATTTCCGTTCTTAATGTTCGCTTTGCTTATCGAGGTGTATGTCCTCATTTATGTCTCTTTTAATCAAGCTATTTTGTCTAGAAGAAAATTAAAATTAATATATAATTTTTTTTTATAAAAAAAAAAAAAAAAACAACAACAATAGAAACAACATACAGAAAGCTAAAGAAAATAACGAGCAAAAGCAAGTGAAACATTAATAATAAGAAGGCAAGTGCCAAAAATTAAACCAAGTAAAATACTCGCACGACGACGTTTAAATAAACTTGGAGATAAATATTCAACAAATGATGAAAGAATATATTGACCATCTAATGCATAACATGGTACTGCATTAAAAAAAGCTAATGCAAATGAAAATGCACCGAGATATCTAAGAAATTAGAATTTTGATTAGTTTTTTTAAAAGTTTGTTTTTCAATAATTAAATTAACTTACTGAAAAAATAATGGAATGTCATGAATAAGCATTGTAGGAAAATAGATATAGTTTGGTTTATATGATTGAATACTAACTAAATAGAAAAATTTTATTATTTACAATTTTTGTTTTATATTCGAATTGCTTTTTTTTTATAAATTAAAAACAAAATGATTTGATTCAATTTTTTTGTTGTCACTTGTAGGATAAGATCATAATTTTATCAGAAAATTCGAGGTCATCATGGAAAGACTTTTGAATCATGCAACCTTATGAATGTCATTCTCAGCTATGAAATTACTATACAATATTTACTAGATTTTTGCAAAATTAAACAAAAAAAAAAAAGCATTTTTTAATTTTTATAAAAGCAAGATCTAATTACTATTCCGGTTTTACTATTCATTTCTAACAAAAACTTCGTTAGTTGATTTATTTTCTTTAACAATTCATCTTTATTATTAAATCTATAAGAAAACGGAAACAGAAAATTTTTTTTTTTGTTTGTATCTTTCAAATTATTCTAATAATCATATTTTATTCATAGAAAATTTCTACAATCATTGTTCTTTATTTTAACTAGATATATGACTTAAAGAAAAAAGAAAAAAAAAATAGATGAAGTATATATGATTAAATTTATATCCACAGGATATATTATCTAGGGTTTCTAAGAGAATTACTAAGAATGACATTTTAATGAATTCTATTTCATTTCTTTATAATAACATAATATAAATGAATATTATCAATAGATGATATGTGTTGTTTCTTTTTTTTTTATTGTCTTACTAGTTCGATAAATTTCATGAATTGAACCGACAAAGAGTATTGTTGGACCACTACTATGAGTAATACGTATTAAACGTGTAACATTATCTTGTGAAAATGGATGAACACATGAAGAATCACCATTATAACTTTGACAATCACTATTTATTAAACATGATGGATGTTTAGTAACAATACGAGCTTCCATACAACCACCATTCTATATATATATATATATATATATGAATTAGAATAAGATTTTTTGTTTTTGAAAAAAAATGTAACTTACATTATCAGGATATTGTTTTGAATGATAAAGAAAACAATAATTTTTTTGTGATAAATTTTGACAACAATCATAATGTATTGATTGATTCAATTCTAAATTTATAATCAAGAAACAATGTGATGCATTGTAAAGATCTTTAAAGAATGAAAATAAGAAGAGACTTTATGATTTTCAATTTCCGTAGAGAAATTTCTGTTGACTATTCAAGATAGATACGTCGATATGAGCACTTATAGTCAAATGCAATCTTAATACAATAATAGTATATCATAAAAACTTTATCTGTGTAATCATTGAACCACTAAGCAGCTTCGAGTCAATTCAATTCAGATTGAATTTATAGTTAGAATAACTTTACTATACTCATTCTAAAGATATATTATGAGAAACAGAAAAATCAAATAATGCTAAAGGATTTGTTTTTGAATATTTCTGACTGAAACATCTAAAAAACAAAATTATCAATGATATTAATAAACCATTGGATAGAAAGGACTTCGCACCATTATAATTGCTTTTCAGTTTCAGTGTTGAAACAATCTTCAAGAAGTACAGACTTCATCAAAGTTTTTGAATATAAATAAGAAACCATGATAAATTTGTGACATATCATTCTTCATCTATTGACATTATCAAGGCATCACAAACTACAAATATTTTTCTGTTGGAAAGTTTATCATGACCTTTTCCGAGTTTAAATTTTCCAATCTTTCTTATAGGTGTATCACTACAATCTATAAAATCGATTCTTTGCTTATTCTTCATAGTATATCTTCTACGTAATATTTTGAAAAAAAGACTTTTTCCTCACATTGAAAAATATTCAGTTTTGAAATATATATGTATCGAGGTCTCAATGGGCTAAAGAAAGCCGGCCCATGGTTTTTTCTTAAAAAAAATGACCCACGCATGAGACACTCATCTAATTGCATTGGATAAATTCTTAATACATGAATGAGCAAGCATATTTCGAGTATCAGTAGTTGATGGATAAACAAATATTTGGTAACATACTTAATAACTTGAAAAATCTTCAATTCTATCAAATTCAGTAGTATTTTCTGATTTTTTAGTTCGAAAATCAAAAACTTTCCAACATAAAGATGTGTTTACTTTTTCATTTTTAATAACAGTATATGTCAAAGGTGGTTGTTTCAAAACAGATTTGATCTGGTTGAATACATATTTTGTTTTCCATGCGATAATGAACTAGAATCGGTAGTTGAAGAAAAAGTGTTAACAAAAATTGACCACTGAGAAGGTATACAGAAAGTTTTTTAAGGTGACAACAATTTCATCTTTTTTGTTTGTTTTGCTTTATATATTTACTGTTCATTGCCGCAATATTTTAGTCAATGGAAGAATTACATGGAATTTTCGACAAAAAAAAAATTAGTGGAAATATGCAATATGTTTTTAAAATTTAATATTTTATTCAAGACTCGGATTATGGGTGTCCATCGCAATATTGGATCAGCCCTGTTTTCTATTCAAAAAAATTTTCAAGCTCAACTCATTGAAATCTTTAATGTGTATAAAATATTCTTCATTATCATACCAATATGACTTGAATGAAGTTGTATTTCAGTTTGTGTTAAACAATATCCACTACTTTGATGTGGATATCGTTCATTAATTGAACGTAAACATCGATACCAATCATTAGATGTATTTACTGTACATGCATCAACAGATTGAATCATTGAATGAACCGGTAAAAGATTACGTATTGGTGAATCCTTAAGAATAAAATAAATATAAAAAAACAAAAAGCTAACTGTTAGATTGATTTTTTTTTTCCTTTAGAAATATTTACTTTTGCTACACGATATACAGTTGCTGCTTCTGTATAAAAATATCGAAGAAACATAGGATTTAAAAGAAGAAATATAACAGCAATAGCAACTAGAATCATATTATGAAAAACACCAGCACAATAAATTCTTTAAAAAAAAACACAAAAAGAATAATTTTATTTTTATTTAACAAAATTTTCTTAGTTTACCTCAATTGTCTTACAGCTGAAATCATTTGTAACTGTTCTTGATGTAAATCAACATAAGCACCAGGATAAAGAAGAAATAAAAAATATCCACAACCATTTACACGAATTTGTTCACTATAAAAAGAATTATATATTATCTAAAACTTCTACTTTTTTTTTTCTCTCATATAAATCAAAAACAAAAAAACTACTCACGCTGATGCTGCAACAGCATGCCCAAATTCATGAAATATTGTACATAAAAGTAACGCCAAAAAGAAATGCGGCATTTGTTCTAATGGTACATTAACACCAGGAATCTAAATTAAAGAAATTTTAATTTTAATTTTGATTGAAATAAAAATTCTACAAACTATAGGTTGAATTAATAATTTATCACGTTCGTTTTCTATTGCATTATTTTGTTTACTTGATTTTTCTTCTGTGAATGATCGAACATCATTATTTGTATTCATTGTAAATTCTCTATCTGATGGAATTCTCCTTTGTATTTCATATATATATTTAATAGGTAAAATAAGTAAAGTCAAACAAGCTATCATAGCTGTTGCAAATGCAATAAGAATTCCCATAGTAAACCAAATTTTCCATAAACGAGAATTACTTGTACCAATACGATAAAAAACACGATTAAAGGAAGTTGTATAAAAGCCAATACTAAATATCGATATATGACAACCTAATGAACGTAGTAGACGAATATATGGACGTTTTGTTTCATGATAACGCTAAATATTTAATGAGGAATAAAATAATTTGTTTTTTTTTTGTTTGTTTTATTTTTTAAAAATTTTTGAAAAAAGAAAGAAAAACAACTATACCAATAAAAGATGATTGATTAAATAGATAATACACCAAATAACAAGAATTTGAAGAAGAAAACGAACAAATATCATTGATGATGCATTAAAACGCATCTTAGAATGATCGTGATCCTTAGAATAAATAAAAATCATGTTCCAAATTTCAAGAAAAACAAAAAAAAAAAAAGATCAATAATTAGAAATGAAAATAATTATTTTAGATAATATTCTAATAAAGAATCTTACCCATTAGATACACATTCTCGAAATCTCTGTAATCCGTCATGAAATTCATAACAACAAACTTTTAAGATTATGCTTATGTATTACAAAAAAATCTATTCCTTTCATAAATTTAATTTGTTGACGAATAGTTTAATTAAACTGTTCATATTTTTCTGTCTATGTCTAGTAACATATATCTTGAATGATTTATTTATTTATTTTTTTTTATGATAATTGATTATAACTTACGATTATACTTGGCATATTTGTAATTTGAAATAAAATTTCAAATCAATCACATTTGTCGTTGATAGATATTTGATTAATAAATCGCTAATACGTTTTTTTTAATAATTATTAGATAATTCATTATTTCTGAAGAAATGATCAATAGATTAAATTTAGAAATAGAAATCGCATTTATTTATATGCAAAATTTTAAATAAAACAATAAGAGTAAAATCGATTTCTTATTTATAAAAAAAAAAATTATTGCAAGAAAAATAAAAATAAACACAAATATGTGAATTCAAAAAACAACAAAAGAAAAATATATTTATTGTTTTTGTTGTTCTTCATATGATTTTGCTAAATAACGATTAAATTTAAAAACTGATGATGTTGGTGATTGTTGTTGAATATTTACATTAGGTGAAGTTGTAATATGTTTATTTGTATTATTCAATGGTTCACTTTTTCTTAATATTGATGTTTGTTGTGGTGATGGTGAACGATGTGTAAAAAATGATTCATCATTATTTGTTGGAGGAGCTGATGATGAAATTGTACCTTTAACAACAGGTATCGGTGGTGTTGTAGAATAAATCGATATATACAATGGAGCTGTGCGTACAATAGCTGGTGAATATTGTTGTGATGATAGTGCTGATGATGAAGATGATGAAGAATATAATATTGGTCGTTGTGAATTATTCATTGAAGGTGAAAAATGTTCCATTTGAGAGATAGGTGAGGATGCATCTTCAGATAATGAATTTGGTCTATCAAAACAAAAGCTTGTTGATCGTGATGATGTTGAAGAGAATTCTTCATCACCAGGAAGAAAAACATTATTGTCAGATGGTGGTTGTAATGATGATATAATTGGTGGTGAAGTCAACGACGGAGTTTTATCGCTGGATATTGAAGATAAAGTAGTAATTGGAGTTGGAAAACCACCTGATGAATTAAGCATTAATGCTGGATGATCATGTAGAGATCGAACAGGCTAAATATATAATTATAAACATAAATGTATAGAGAATATTTTATTAAAAACAAAAGTTTTTATTTTATTTTGGCGAATGTTTAGCTTATGAAGAATAGTCAACACGAAAACTTCAACAATTATTTATCAAGATCTTTTTCTTCATACTTATTCTCATGATTTGTAAGTAAAGAAAAGAATGAAATTTATTGTTCAGATTTTCCGTCTAGGAGATAACATTGAACAACTATTAGTAAAATTTGTGGAAAAAAAAGTCCAAAATTGTGTCTGTACAAAGCAAAATAGCAGTTTTTTGTGCAGTCCTTTGTTTGTACCTTGAAACTAGGCATGTTCCAATATACTAAAACCAACTCCAAACTTTTGGATTTCAAGATTTAAGCTTTGGATTCTAGTTTGTCTCTGTTGGATTTAAGAGAGGGAAGTTATAATTACTTGCCAGTTACGTTATCAGGTAACTAGTAACGGAAATTTTGCGGATTTATCAAGGGAAGACTGTTTTTTGAAAAAAAAAGAGATTTTTTTATAAATTTTGATCAAAGATTTTCGTGGTCGAGGAATATGAATCTCTAATTGGCTTTTCGAACTTTGTGAATTCGAATCAATGATTAATATATCTTGCTTCCTTTACAAGTGATGCAAAATTACCAATTAGTTGCAGCACAATGGTAACTTGCCTTAACTAGTGCTATTACGTGAAGATTACTAAGCGAATTAGACTACTTTATCGTTGTAATCAGTGCTTTAATTCGATAGAGAAGACCCAGATTCTGAAACCCAAAAGTTTTAGTATTGATACATGGCTACTTGGAAGAGCTTCAATTCAACATTATTGTAGAACACTGAATTCTGTACAAAATGAGGTATTACAATAAGTGAAATCTATGTGTTTCCATTAAAGAGCTAGTTTCTATGGAGATCGGTAATCGTTGTTTCAAAAACTACTTTTAAAAATTTGTCATGCAAAAATAAATAGCACACATTTGTAGATCAAATTTTGCTCTACAAAACTGAACCATTTAAACCTTTTTCGCATATTGAATTCGATCGAGCTTCAATCGAAATACAAATTTAATCAAAATAATATTTTGTACAACTATTATTTTGAATCTTTTGAAAATAATCTGATGTTTGTTGCCCAATATTACCCTAGAAGAAAGTTCTGAACACATGCGTCTGATTCTAATTAGGCTGCTTCTGGTTTTTAACCAATTGTTAAATATTTTTTGGCAAAACTTTCACATCATAGATTACTATGAAAAAAGTATCAATTAAATAGTTTCTTATATATCTTACTTCTTGTGTTTGATTATCATTTAAAATTTTACTATTAACAAATGTACGGTGATGAAAATGTTCATTTGAAGAATCTGAATCTGATAGTCTTGGTGCTGTATGAACATAAACATTGTCTTGATTAAGTTTTTCATATGTTGGTAAAATTTGTATAGGTGAGCTAGATGTTCGATGATGACCTTTAATTGATGATATTCTATTTTTGTGACTAATAAAATGATTTGTAGTTGATTTTATTGGAGAAGTATTTGTTTCCGGTAATGATAATATTGATGTTGATGATGATGAACGTGTATGACGATTGACCGATGATAAATCAATTTGTTTATCATTCTCAAGTAAATTCTATAACAACAACAAAGAATTTATATAAATTTATTCTTGTTTTTTTTTTGCAAATAATTACTTTATCTTTTATTGATTCATTATCTGAAATACTACTATTATGTGATATAGATTTTTGCCATGATACAATAGATTCTTTATCGGAATCATTTTCACTATCACCAACTGAACTTATTTGTGCTATTCGATGATGTTTAGTATTTGATAATTTATGAGAACGAATAATTGGTGTTGTTGCTGGTGAACATTCACGTGAATCAACAAAACCTTTATTAAAACCAGCTATTTTTGAATCATCAATATTAAAATTAATAGCTGCTAAACCCATTTTATTCATCCATTTAGCCATTTCATCACGTGTTGAACAATAAAAATATTCACAAGTTTTATTATTATCATCGGAAATACGAAAAGCACTAGAAAAAGAAATTTTATTTATTAATTAATTTTTTCTATTTTTTTTTATTTACTATTTTTTTCTTTCTGGTGCTGGTGAAACATTTTTTCCTTCAAGTTTCATCTCAAGTTCTTGAGTCTTATCCTATATTTAAAAAAAAAATTGTTTCTTTTTTTCAAAATTTTTCTTTTTTCTTTATACGACTTACGTCTTTTGATTTAAATATATATAAAGTGCCACCTTTTAAAACACACCAATAAAGTCTCCATTGTACAAATGATATTGTACCTTTCGGTAAATAACGATGTAGAGAACCTTCACAATCACCTTTACCCAAATCTTTACATGAAATTTTTTTATGTGATGCTAAAAAATAAATAACAAAATAAACAAATACCAATGATAAATTAAACTTTAATCATTAACTACATATGATATTCCTTGAGACCAAAATAAAAATAAAAATAACTATACCAAAGAAATATTTACCTTCTTATTTAATTTATTATTAAAAAGTTACTAGAACAATAGGAGTTTTGATATTTTCTTACTGGTATTACTCTCATAGAAAGATTTTAATTATAAATCACTTACATGTCCGTTTTGGACGACGTCGTTCTGCAGAACCAAAATTCTAAATGAAATAAAATAAAATAATTATTTTAAAAAAATCAATAACAATCATTTTACTTTTCGGTTATCACTATGATTTAATGGTGGTTTATTGCTTACAACGTTAGAATTATTATTATTATTATTACCAAAAATTGAAGATATTTCCATTTTTAATTCATTTCGAAATCTATATAAATATAGGACGAATTTTTTTTTTTACTCTTGTTCATCTATATGTATATATGTCTTACGTCATGACTTTTCCAATATCACCATTAGATCGTTTTGTACGACTTTTTTCTGATGAATCTGATGGCTAAAAAAAGTTTCTAGATATATAAAAAGATAACAGAAAAATAAAGTTTACTTTAAATATATTTGAGAATGATGAAAGTGTTGATGATGTTGTTTGTAAACTTGTTTGACTAGCACTTTTATTTATTGATGCTCCGGATGTAATTGGTGGAGATGAAGATATTTGATCATCATATAATGATGATGTAGAATTATTCGATGAATTTTGATTATATATTGATTGAATACGTTTAATATTTACTAATTGTGGATGATCTTTATTTGTATGAACATTCATATCAGCAATAACTGATTTAGGATCTTGTCGAGAACGAAAAAGTGTTGAAATATATGATTCAATACCCTAAAAAAAATAATTGATGACTTAAAAATCATGAAAAATATTCTCTTGATGAAGTTAGAAATAAGAAAGAGAAGTTCTGTTGTTGATTGAATATACGATCGTATAAAACATCATATTCCTTTTTTTGTTTATTACTGTGCTTGTTAGACAAAGGAATGTATCATCATCTTAGTAACTTAGGTTTTTTCTTTTAATACATATGGATGTCTTTTGCTTTCATCTGTAATTATCTCACGATGGTAGTTTTATATTAATATTTACTTAGTTAAGTTGTATATTTTGAGATTATTAGATTTGTTTTTTGATTGTTCTTTTCTCTATTTACTTATTTATATCATTAGGACTGGAAATATGTAAGACATGTTCGTCTCGTCTAGGATATAATGACTTTTTTGCTGTGCTTTATGCTCTGCCTCGATCTTGGCCTAGAAAAAATTTGTTTACGATACAACTATCCGAACTGATACCCGCCGTTTGAACTCATATTGGAATCACGAGGAGGTGCCAATAAGACTAGAAAAATCCTAATAGAGTTTGTCTTCATGGACATCTGGAGCTGTGGTTTTCACCGGTCTACTGAATTTTTGATCCGGGTTTAGGTATTTAGCAAAAAATCAAATAACAGAATTTTGCTCGGAAAGATCTGATGACTACCGGAATATCTTGAAAGTTTCAGCCGAAAAGAATGTTCGTTTGTGGAGATATTGAATTTTCAAGTGAACTCGATTTTGGCAGCATATCTGTGGTGATCGACCATTTGTTTTTGAAAATTCAATATCTCGACAAAGGAAGACTCTTTTTAACTGAAACTTTCAGAATATTGCCACAGTCATCAGACCTATCTACAAGCAAAATTTCAGATCAAAATTCCGTTATTTGATTTTTCAGTAAATACGTAGAGCAAGATCAAAAATTCGTCAAAATGGTGATAACTTAGTTCCAGATGTCTATAGGTACGAACCATTTTAGAATTTTCTATTTCCACTGTGATCCCCTTGTGAACCGAATATGAGCTCAAATGACGGTTACCAATTCGAATAGTTTCCTCGTTAGAAACAACAGAACATTCAAAGATAATCTTTAGTTCCAATATCAATAAACGTTTGATTTAAGTTTGGCACAGGAATGTTCCAAGGGTAACAAATCTGATGGAGGAGTCGATGGCTCAGGAGATTGATTGGAATATATTTGTTAAGGTTGGCCGGATTTGGAGATTTGAACGTTTAAAAAACAATGAAACGCTAAAACTCCACTGCAGACAAACGAAAATTTTTCAAGATTTGGGTAGATCTGTGGCAGCTCACAGTTCTAAGAGCTGATTCTTTTTTGAGAACTGTGTCCATTGACTAGTTCCTTTGAAAGAACTGGGTGCAATGGCCAGTCTTTATTTAAGAATTGGGTCCAGTAACCAGTTCTTTTATTGAGAACTGGGTCTAATGACCGGTTTCTTTCAAATGTACTTGCTCTATCAATAATGGGGCGATCCACCGATTCTACTCAGTACTTGCTCTAGTTGTCAAAACAGAACTGATTACCATACCCAATTCTTTTGAAAAGACCTGTTCACCATATCCAGTTCTTTTCAAAAGAACTGAGTGATTGACACCAGTTCAGTGTTTTGATTGAGAACTGTCACAGGTATAGATTGGGAAACCCTTATCCCGCTCAGAGGACACTCCTAGTTCTGCATATGTCTAATCAGATGAACAGATAGTCGATATTGTTTTTCAGCTACTGAACTTCATTTTGTCGCTTTTAACTTTGAACCATTTTCATTCTTTTTCAATAAAGTTATAAAAAAGACTTTTTTTTGTATTCAAATGTCATTCGAATGTTGATTGTTTTGAGATACTTATGTAAGATAAAGTTTAGACAAGAAAAACAAGAAGAATATGTGTATATGCCTCTCGCCTCGAACTTCTTGACTATCTTACCATCTTCCTCTGACTTTTTGGTGTTGATTGATTGGAACTAGCAGAATGCGGTCGTTCAGTATCTAAAATACAAATAATTTCAATTTTCTTTCAAACTTTTTTCTTTTTGTTCATACTCTTTTGTTTTGAATCTAATTTATTGGGAGACATTGGTGATATTAAAGGATTTGTAGATACAGATGAGACGGATGATGATGGTTCACTACTAAGATTAGAATTTTCACTGATTTCATATGTATTATTACTATTAGCAAGTGTTTCGGTCAGATCAGGTAATGATGAATGTTGATCACGTTTGATTTGTGACGAACGTTTATTTTGATATAGAGTTTCATCATCACTTTCAATTTCAATCTCCCTATATAAATAAAGGAAAAGAAAACGAATTAATGAGAGAACGTGATAAAAATCAAATAATTCTTCTTATTCGGATACATAAAACAACATGTAGACAAAGGGAAAAAATGTATTAAATACGTGCACAACATGAATAGTCTGTCTACCTGTTCTTCTTCTCGAATGCTAAGATAAGTGAAAAATAAGTTTTAATAAAAATGAAAAACACTAAAATAAAATTATCATATTAATTACCCTTCTTGTTCTAGTAAAATAGTTCGATTTTCTTGTGTTTGTTGTTTTCTTCGTTCTAAAGCACCACGAGCACGTGAACGTCGAGGATTATGTGGTCCATCAACAAGACGTTTTGTATATACTTCATCATCATTATGTCGAGGCATTTTTTTAACTAATAAACATATTTCATTTGTTTGTGATGTACGCAGTAATTCATCAAAATGTTTTGGATCCCAACCGATCTTTGAAAAAATGTAAAAACAAAATCAATTTCAAGATGAATTGATCTCATAAAGGAGCGTTCCCAACTGTCGGGATAGCCTCAAGTGAAAACCGATTGAACAGTTGGGAACATTCTCTCGTCAATGGATAAAATGCTTAAGAAAAACCTATTTCTATTCTATATATATATATAAAGAAAAAAGAAACTGAATTTAATATGAGAGTCTATCAAATATAAGTAAATTTGAAAGCATTTGTTTCATATTCCTTCTAGGCCAAAGTTTGTAATAACTTAAGTATAACAAATGAAAAGATTCGATTTTAATGCACAGTATTTTTTGAATGAAAACGTTAAAATTAAGAATGATAAGTCTTTAGTTTTAAACATAGAATACAAACAAGATTCTTTTTTGTAATAAAGAGGAAAACAGTCCATATCTAGAGGAAACCACTATTTGAATAGTCGTGCATTAAATATTGCAACGAATAGGCCATAAGGAATTGGGCTAAATATAAATACAATTTTCCTCTCATATAAATTCATATATCAAAAAATAGAGAACTTCCAGTTTTACAAAACTAAGAACTTTACTTTTAGAAAAAACATATATCCTGTATATTCCCATTGCGACGCATCGTTGCTCGTGCTTTATAAAAGCATGGAGAATCTCAAAAGCAAAGAATATTACATCCTCTATTTTGCTAATCCACTTTCGAAATCCCGTGAAAATATTCTTCATGGTGATTTTAGAAGAATTTTTTAAACAATACAGTGTTTCTTTTGAGTTAAAATTCAATTGTAAGATTCGTATTAGGACACAAAAAAAATGCAGAATTCCGTTCTCTACAAGTTTACATGACTGCTGACAGCAGTACAATATGTTTTTTCATCAAAATTTACAAAAAATCCCGCAGACCTCAAAATGGATGTAAAATTTTGTTTTTTTTCTTTTTTCATTTATGGTGTCTTGAATTTTTACATGAAGCTGTCGTTTATAGTTTTGAAAGATAGAGGCTTTTATCAAGAATAGTTTCGTGTATTTTGAGAAATATAGTGAATTTCTCAATAATGATGTTACATCCGTAGAAATATACATTTTATCTCAGTGTGTTGATTCCTTCGAAATTAAAAACAGTTCTTTATAAAAGTACAGTACATAGTTTTTGTAAAGATTGAAATTCTCCATCTTTTGATATATAAGTGAATATTTTATATGAATAGTAAATTTGTCCGATTCATTATGATCCATTCGTTACTATTATCTTTGAATTCAGACAACAAAAATTAAGTGGTAATGTAATGTATTGTTGTTCTCTTGTATTTTAAGCTTTTTTTTTTCTGTTACTTTTTGTTCATCAAGAATAACAATATATCAGTTAATATTATTTTTATGTTTTTCTCTTTTTCCTAATATGAAAAAAAATCTGTTTGAAAACTTTGTTATTCCATCCAGGTGATTTTAATTCACACACAAAACAAGTGATTTAACTTGTCGTAAATAGAAAAACAAAAGAAAAATGAATCAAAAAAAATTTTATCGAGGTTTTTTTCGTTCGAGTAATTTCAAAATATGTTGTAATTACAAAATAAAAGTTAATCTATTTTTCTTTACGAAATTTCTGCTGAGGAAAAAAAGAATTTTTTTCAAAAATTCATTTTCTAAGAAAATCATAAGATTGGAAATAAACTCTATTTTATATAATTATCTAAAAATTATCCTTGAAAAAAAAATAATCAACTTACAACAACTTGATTGTTAATTTCTATAATTTCATCTCCAATATTAATTGCACTGAAACCTGATCCCATAAAACTCATAGCCTTAAATAAATTTCAATAGATTAAATAATCAAATTATTGAATTCAATTTACTTCTGTTTCAATACTTGATATAACATGAGTAAAATCAGGCATTGTTGTATATTCAATATTCTAAATAAATAGAAAAATAATTTAATGAAATATAAAAATAATTTTATTTCTTACCACATCATCTTTCATTGGACGTCGTAAATGAACTCGTGTTAAATAACAATCTGATGAAAATAGTGAATCTTTATTCTGACGAACTAATGTTATAGCTGTCGTTCGTAAATCATTAATCTAAATAGAATAAATTAAACAAATAAGGAAAATATCTCAACTATTTGCCAAATACTTTCGATTTCATTTTTTTAGCTTTACATAAGTCTTTATAAAGTTAGGAAAATCCTATAATTGTTCATGTTTATGATTTGAATGTTGTCAAGGTCTGCTTCTCTTTTGACTCGTCTGTATACCGTGGAGAGATGTGTTATACTTTTCTTCAAAAAACTCAATATAAAATTTATTTACTTCTAATATTAATTTCGATTTTGGCATATTAATTTGGTCAGCAACTCGTAAATTACGAAGTAATACACGTATCTGAACTAAAACTTTGATTATTTTTCGACGTAATTCAATATATTCAATATTTTCAATAAATGGTAATCTAATAAAAATCAAAAAATTCACAATAATTAATTTTATATATTTAATCGATAGTTTACCTTCCAAGCCAATGACAAGTAACAACAATTACATCCGATAAATTACTAATTGATGTATAAAATTCCGGTGAATTCATTACATTACTATTATTTGTTAATTCTTTATCATCAAGTCGTTTTATTAAATTATAACATGTTGTTGCTGCACAATGAATATGCATAAAAAGTAAAGCAAGTGTTTCACTAGTTAAACGACTGACCTAGAAAATTAGCAAGAAAATTTATAGAGATGATAATATTCGATAGAAAATTATTACAAGTGTAAGAAGAAGATCAATAGATTGCATTAAAATAAGTTGTTGATCAAGCTTTGTTATTCCCATACGAATAAGATCTTCACGAAGAAGAAGAGTTAAAGCTGTACCATCAATATTATTTTTAAGAAATAAATCACTTGTATCAGCTTGAATACCAGCAAGACCTTGACAAACAAAAAAACAAAAATTAATTTGTTTTTAAAATTTTATTATGGCTTTTTTTTTGCTCAATAACCTCCAATCCATCTTGCAACTTCATTTGCTTCCCAACGAGAAACCATTGTTGCTCGTTCTCGTGTTAGCTTAATTGAGCCACTATTATAGTGTAATGATTGCATTTTTTCAAAGTGTCTCTTCCTTTATTTTTCTTCTTTTCAATCACCGTCAAAACATTCGTCGTTATGTATATGATTGGTTTTTTTAATAAATAAACAAAATTTTCTTACTGATAGATAATTATCTAATCAAAACTAAACTTGTCATTTTGTATATTTATGATTTGTAATATTAATCAATCAATGAGCAATAATAAAATTTTATATTAATTATTGAAAATTTGTCGTTTTTTTTTGTTTTATTTCAATAAAACTTCTAAATACAATTAAAAATAATAAAAATTTTTATAGAGGGCGCTTTTCTTTTTCTTTTGACATACAATAATTTGAGCAGATGTTATTTATGTAATTTTTTTAGTTTAGATAGTATTCATTTGTTGATACAAAAATGGCAAGTCACGTTTGTTAATAGTTTATTATTGAACATAAAAATGTATTTTCTAGGGTGAACGAAAAGGTCAAAATAAATATTATCCACCCGATTTCGACTGGCGAAAAAATTCATCTCTAAATGCTTACCAAGGTGTTCATGCTCTCCGTGAACGTGCACGGAAACTTGATCGAGGTATTCTTATTATTCGGTATGATAATATTTTTATTATAAAAAATTAAAAAAATTCAAATAAATCTTATTAAATAGTTTTGAAATGCCATATAACATTTGGTGTAATACATGTGGAAATCATATTGGTATGGGTGTACGTTATAATGCTGAAAAAACCAAAATTGGAAATTATTATACAACACCAATATATCAATTTCGTATGAAATGTCATTTATGTGATGGACATTTTGAAATAAAAACAGATCCTAAAGTGAGTTTATCAATAGTAATATAATATGTTTTGTTTTTTTTCGCAGAATTAGCTAACGAGGAAAATTTCTCAAATCATTCATCACATATGTTATGAATACACTGAAGAGTGTTCGTGTTCTTAGCTTATTGCTGTGGAAATTTTGTATTTTTTAAATGAATGCCGTGACTCTCTCAGCAATACTAGGGAAACGAATTTTCGAATTTCAATTTCCATAGAGATTCGTCTCATCGATAATAGTTTATCGTGAAAGTTTCAGATATTTTCTTTGTTCTTTTCTTGAAATATAGCTATGAGAAAAGCATGTCTTTTATGCTGCTCATATACACCGGCAGATTTGATATTCTTATTTCAGGAAAGGAGCAAATCAAAAAACCGAAAACTCTTATAATAAACTATTTTTGTTAAAATCTGCCTCTGTGCAAAGTTTCAAGTTGAAATTCGGCAACGAATATTCTTCGTGTTCCTGATGAAGTACTACGATATTAACTTAAAAAATATAGTATTGCAGCAGTTCTAAGCTAAGAACTCAAACTGTTTTCAGTGTATTCATAGCTCATTAGAATTTACATGATACACATAATTTAAACTTCAAAGCAATTAAGCAGTCGGGGAATTTCCCTCGTAAGATTGTTATGAGAAATAAATAAGGAATGGATCTTAAAAGAGTCAAATCTTGAAAGTTTTTTTATATGTTGAGAGATAATTGGATATAGTTTGAAGAATTTGTACTAGTATAGAAGTATTTTTTCTATAAAGAATTGAAAACTTAAAGAATATCTTCAAAATTTATCGATAATTCTTATAGTTTACAAAGATCGGATCGGTTTGGTTCCCAAAAAAAAAGAACACAAATCGATCTTATCACCGATAGTTTAAGTTATTAATTCACTTTTTTTTCTCATTCAAAGTTCTATTTTTATCTGCTCGAGTTTCTACACTAATAAACTTGTTTAAATATTCTAAACTTTCAAGATTTGAATACTTTCTCAAGAAGAACTATTGTATAAGAAAAATTTCTCAACTTTGTCTGTCTTTCCTTACATTATCGTTTAGTTTAAAATCGATACCAGTGATAGAGACCTTCCATAAAGGATCGCTAGAAAAAGAGCGAAGGCGAGAATCAGCAAAAATTGGATGGGAAGAAGTCACATGCATCCGAGCGTTCGAACATTAATTACAGGTTTTTTGTTGCTTTTTAAGCATTTTCAAAAGAGCAACATTTCAGAATTCAATGACGCATTATCTGCGAATAAATCACATATATCATTTATTGAATACAGAAAAAAGAAACAGTTTATTTAAGCAAATGAACTTTTTCTAAAAACATTTTGGAAATTGAACATTCTTTATGGATGATCCGTATATATACATCTTAGTCATTAGTGTCTTCAGTAAGCAAGTCTTGTTTTTAAAGATACAAAATTTATTGAGGAAAATAGGTTCACCTTCTTACGATAGATTGTTTCACGAATGAATCTATATGTTAATAAATATAGGATTATTCTCTTGAAAAGACTCGTAGAAGTTCCAACAAGACAAACACATTGAACTTCAAGATCCATTACTCTCTTAGTCATTCATATTGAATAAAACACATATATTTCTGATGTGGAGAAACCATTCGATTGATTAACATATAACGTTTTTCTATTTACAATTATACAATAAAATAGATTTAAAGTTAAAATAATCTTTCATTTATTTTATAGGCTCGTGATTATGTTATTGTTAGTGGAGCACGTCGTGAAGAACAACGATGGGATGCATCACAAAATGGACAAATTGTTATGGAATGTAAGTTTATCAAATTCATTCTATAATTAAAAAACAAAATTTACAATCATTGTCTTTTTTTTCATTTTAAGCAACAGAAGAAATGAAAAAACTTGCCACTGATGCTATGTTTAAATTAGAATATGATGGTAAGGATGTAGCAAAAAAAACAAGTAAATCAGGACCAGATTTAAATGAACTTGAAATACATCAAAGTGCATGGAAAGATGATTATATTATTAATTATGTTTTAAGAAAAAATTTACGAGTAAAAATTATTAATTTTGTTTTTCAATTATATTGTTTATAAATTATTTTTTTAAGGAAGCTAAACGTGAAGATCGTTTACAAAAAGAAGCTGATGATCATATAAGAAAAAAAGCGTCAATTGATATTCCTCTTTTACCTTCAAATCGACATGATGATCGAATAGCTAAACTTTATCGATTAGAACCCCCTCATTGTGTGAAAAAAAAACAAAAACAATATAAAATTCCTAATTTAAAAATTTTGCTATTTTAGCTGCAGAACAAACTGAAATTGATCGACGTGAAGCAATTGATCAACAACAAGTATTAAAAGGAACATCACAAACTCCATCGGAAATTAATTGGACACCAGCAACATTTACAAGCAATAAAAAAAAACTTTCATCTGCTTTAGGAATTGTACGAAGTATTGATAAACCTCAACAATCATCTGAGACAATAGTAAAATCTCTTGTTTCCTACGATGATGATGATGATGGTGATTCTTAATGTTTTGTTTTTGTTCTGTATATTTTAAATAATAAAATATGTTTTGAAAGACAAACTAAAAACAAAAAAAAGACATTGATTATTTATTGCAGATTTTGATGTCGTCGAATGCTTCTTCATCAGGCATCGAAAGTGATACAGATAGTTCACCTAGTGTAATTTTATTATGATTGTATTATTTTTTGTTTTTAGTTATATTTATTTCTTTTATAGTTTAATGAAGATAAAGATAATCAATCAATATCTGATATAAATAATGTCAATGATGAATCAATTGATACATTAATTAATGATAACGATGATGAAGGTTTTATTAATATGAGTTTTGAAACAGATGAATCAAATATGGTGTCTGATACTAAGAAGCAATCTAATGAAAATCTTAATAGTGAACCAATAACATCAATTACATTGAAGTCAATTCATAACAACAAGCCTTGTCATTTTCCTTATTCAACACGAAATCCATACGATGATGGTTAGTAATATTTTTTTTTTTGTTATTGCTCTGATAAACATTCAAAATGAAATATACCTAACGAAATAACTACAGTAGGAAATAGAGCCTCGCGATAATTTTTAGAAGTAATTAACAGATAGTCAGAAGTAATCTGTCCGTCTAGTAGAAAGTATTTGAAAAAAGCTATCTTATCAAACTTTGCAGACGTAACGTAAAAAAAGTGGGAAGCTAACTCCTCTCACATCGAAATTCATGATAGAAAACGTCTCTTAGGTATAAGAAAAATTGAATAGAAAAAATCTGCAAATCATCAAATGTGTTTTTTTTTAAACAAAGAATTAACATTAAATGAAAGGAGTCATAGTTTGATATTTATCAGAAAGTATATTCATGTTCGAAATCAGATCAATATTTTTTATTCTGGTCAAGTTAAACATTTTATACAATAATATTTCAACACAACTCGTAAAGAGCTCTTTATCAATTGTATATCTTATACATTCATAGTTTTTTTTTACTTTGATCAGCGGTTATTTATTGAAATCTTTAACCCTTTCGAGTCGATTCGATTTTCATAGAAAGTAACATGTGACTCAGAATAAATGGTCGCAATTTGCATCTAATATTTTAATCTCGAAATACGTTTTATTACAAAACAACATATACCACGAGATGCAGCGTAAAAAGCTCTACAATCTAGATAGTGAAGCTTATTTCGATTGTGCACTTTTTGGTTCCAAAAAAAAGCAAAACTTTGTGCGACTAATTTTTAAGGTTGCGAAAATCAATCGTGCAGAATTTTGCTTTTTTTGGAAACAAAAAGTACACAATTGAAATAATCTTTACAATGTAGATTGTAGAGCGTTTCACGCTACATCTTGTGGTATATTTTGTTTTCTCTTACGAAATCATATTAGGTGATAAAAAGATAAAATAAGAAAAACGAAACTTCTCATTCGTGTAGAAAAACTGATCGTTCTGCAACCTCGAAAACTCGTCACACAGAGTTTTGTTTTTTTGATAACAAAAATTACACAATTAAAATAAGCTTTACTATCTAGATTGTAGAGCGTTTCACGCTACATCTTATGGCATATGCTGTTGTTTTTAATAAAATGTCTATAGAGATTAGAATATGAAATGCTATGTGCAACCATTTATTCTGGATCACCCGTTGGCTTTAAAATATAGTGGGACCCACCGGTGGGTCCCATCGACTAGAAAGGGTTAATTGATCAAAATTCTTTTTTTTAGATACATCTCCGCCTTCTGTAGTTGAAGATTGGGACGAAGAATGTAAAGTCATCGAACCTTATTGTAAGCAAATTTTTTTCTATACTTTAATTTTTATATTTTTATGTATAGATTTTCCTAGTTACATACGTCGAGCTCAGTGGCCGAACCATTGGCGCTGGACGCCACCACTCGGTATTCGTCGTACATGTACACAACAATTACATCGTAATCTCGGTTTTGAACCAACCGGTCTTTATGATGATATTGATAGTTTACCATTAAACATCAATCTTCGTCATTTTACATTTAATTTTCAATAAGAAATTTTACTGTCTTTCTGTGTCGAATTTTCTTCACTGTTTTCTGTGATGTTCTAGTATAGTATTTAATTAGTTTTTTTTTCTTGTAAATCACTGTTTTACACAGTGAATATGTTTTTCTTTTTGTCACTTGTTTTGTCTCATACAGATATATAAGCGAACTTCATTTGTCAAATATTCACTGTTTTGTTTTTGTTTTTTTTTTGTTGCATTATTGAAATATTTTTTTTCTTGTTAGCCGAAACGAAAAAATCTGAAAGTGATTATACATATATATATATTAAAAAGAAACAAAAAATGTCACACATGACAATTTATCAAAAAACATTCGTGTTTTGTTTTTATTATTTTTGTGCATAACTAAAATGTAAATAATGCTCGTATTGTTTCATCTTTAAGCCAACCATCAACAAATTCTGAAATTCCAATATGTCCTGACTGATCTTCATCCAATTTTTCAATAACGAGATTTGCTGCTGGCTTTGGACCATCACTCATTACACTTGCAATAGAAATATTCGATGATGTTTTATGATATGCTTCTAAACATTTAAGTATACGTTCGATTTCTTTTTTTGTAACTTGTTTATCACCATTTTTATCAATAATACGAAATATAAAATCAGCTTTTTCAACTGGAGATTCTGTTTGAAAAAATTTTATACTCGTTAAATATTCAAGAAAATCAATATAACCATCATTATTTGTATCAATTGCCGAAAAAATACAATCTGTTAAATATTTAATATGTTTATGTTTTCCTGATGGAATATAATCACCTAATAATTCTTCCATATAATGTTTTTTTAAACGACCATTTTCAGCGATTTCAAAAAATTTTGCATGTTCATTACGAATTTCATCATCACTAAATTCTGTTATAGCACGACAACGTACTAATAAATCATCAGTTAACGTTTTGTAAGATTCACCTTGTTTACGTAGAAGATTTCCCATCTGAAAAGAGACAATATTTTTATATGCAGAAATTACTTTTTTTTTTATACTTTTCTTTTTTATAGATACATATATATATATATCTTAAATCTGTATTATATTTCTAATAGATGACATAACCGACGTCAGAGAGTAGAGACCTCACGTCTCCCGTATAATCACCATTTACTGTTGTTCGTTGCTGCTTCACGTGCGCACATACAGAGGAGACAGTTGCTTTTGTTTTTTTCCTTTTCTGTCGTTCTTTATAATGACGAGAAAGAGTACTATTGTTCGCTTACACACATAAAGCTAAATCGTAGTACAAATAAACAGAACAGAAAATTCAAAATGAGAAAAAAGAAGCCGTAATTGAATACGTCGATCGTGACTCATATGTACCATATAGTCGGTACTTCGTCATTTTAATCATAGCGCCCTCTCCCGCAACGTTGTGTTGTGTGTGTGTGTGAATCACACCAATCCAGTGTGCAGATGTGATTAAAGTAAAGAAGAACCAAACAATCAGTTTTTAGCTATAGTATCGATGTCAATAAGCTTTTTGGTTTGATGACAGTGCGAGATTATTCTTTATATATGAGCGAAATGTAACTTTTTTGATAAGATTGATGTGAAAAAAAATGAAAGTAGACCTAAAAATAATTTCCACTTTATACTCGTGATATACAGGAAAAGTTTACGGATATTTGATTAGCCGAGATATGTTGTTCTATTTCAGTATAATGTAATGTAAATATTATTATTTAAGGAAAGAAAAACATCGTAATAGTTCACTGAAAACTATACAATAAAACTACTATTTAACTCGGCATATGTGTTCGAAATAAAAGAAGAATAGATTTTCGCAATGAAAGGAGTCAGATGGTATAAAATATGATACCATTTGATCCATTATTGTTTCATATATTTCACAAAAAAATATTATTCTACTTGTCAGAAAAAAAATGTCCTTCTACATTTTGTTATATTATGTAAATTTCTTCATAACAGAAAGAGGATAAAAGCTTGAATTTTTTTAAAAACTAATCGTACAACTCTAAGAACTATACGTACGGTATAAATTTAAGCGAAAAAAAAACCGAGCCATTCACGAACTATTCATAAGGTAATTTTCAAAATGTACTTCGATAAAGTGAGTAAACATCGCATTCTTAGTGAGGAATCGTTATTTTTCTTTAACAGAAAAAAAAATCGTTATGGGAACATGTTTTTCTTTTTCATTGGTAGTTTTCTCGAGAAATTCTTTATCTTATGAACATCTTTCTTTATTTTACTTCAACTTCTATGCATTAGAAGAAATTTGTAGTATAATTTCATTCTACACAAAAATAGCGAAGGATTTGTCAAATGAATAATCATAGACAGGAAAAGGCTATAATCGAGAAAAAAATATATTTCGACAAGGAATTGCACGCTCTACAAAATGGATTATTCGTCATACTTTTTTGTTTCTTTCGATATTTCTGAAATTTCGTTTTTTTTTTCTACAGATGTCGTTAAACCTATGCGGTTTTTTACAGTATATAGTTCACAATTCAGAGAAGGTTTGAGCTAAAAAGCTGAAAGTTGCTGTAACTGTGAGACACTCACTCAGGTTAGATATTAATAGCCAAACATCGGTCTCTATAGTTTTATCTGTGCCATATTAAATATTAGATGTACGAAAAAGTTCTTATGATTTATTTTCTTTCTACAGTAAAACCTGTCAATTATACTGGGCAGTCTATAGGCGGCTCAAGCGAATTTTGGCTACGGATGAGTCTCTCAAATCTGAGCACCTTCTTATTCTGAGTAGTGGACGCTTACTTCTAGTTCTATAAGCAATTTATATGTTCTATTGCTCACGCGCAGAAAGAAAAAAACATGACATTATGTGTATTGCGTTATGATAAACAATCACGGGACACATATGAAAAGAAGAATGACTAGCTGTGGATATTTTAAAAAAATTCTAGACAATAAACAATAATGCTTGATGTAAGATCTCGTCGTTTTAGTAACATAAAATCATGTTAACACGAGTTGATTTACCATTGATTAAAAAGTTGAATAAATTAATAAAAGGGTGGTTCAAAAGTTTCGACGTCCTATCTATAAGTTGACATTATCTATACGCATACATGTATAGATAGTTGACTGAAATATAGTTTTTTTTTGTAGAGAATGATTAAAGCTATAATCTGAAATGGTAATAGTTCAAATTATATTGACACAATGAAAAGTTTTGATTGTTTTATTGATCATGACTAAATATTTTATATCTTACATTTTTTGCAAAAGTAAAATATGCTTGTAGCGTCTGAAGCGAAATATTGTTTTCTAGAGATCTTTATATGGTTCGTTAGAGTTCGACATGCTCTACGAGAATATAAATATCAAAAAAAAATTTGACGTTGTCTCGAATACAAAACTTGGAGGAAACCAGAAAGAATAATAAAAATTTCAGGTATCCACCATTAGAGAGAGCAAGCTGAACTTATAATAATTTTAGCTGATCTACTATTTCGTCTGTTCATGTAGCTCGGAAAGGTTATTTTCAGCTTCAGTATGTCACAGTACATCTCGAAATATCAATTATCACTCGATTAACGAATATTATTAAAAGTTAAGTATATTTTCTCGTACGACATGTCTGAGATTAGTATCAATCTGCTTAGTTTCATCCACGTTTTGTATTAGAAACAGGATCATAAGTTTTTTTGATAGTCATATTCTTGTAGAGTTTATCGAATCATGTGGAAACATCTAGGAATTAATATTTCACTCAACTTTAATCATTCAGATATAACAGGAATATGTTTGTTTTTGCTAAAAAATATAAGATGTAAAATGTTTAGTCACGTTTAATAAAAGAATCATAACTTTACATGATTTCCATGGAATTCGAACTGTTTTCTTTTCATATGATAGCTTTAATCATTCTCGACAAAACTATGTATTTTAGTTAACTATCTACTTATGTATTTTGTATAAATAAAGTCAATTTACAGAGAGCAGTCGAAATTTTTGGGTCATCTTTTAGTTAGAAAAAACCAATAAGATTACCTTGTGCAATTGACAAACGATTGTAACTGAATACGTATAGATTACAAAAACGAAACTGAAAATCTCCTAATAATGAGCACTTTGCGCCGATTCCGATGTGTCCAAATTTTTAATGATACATTTTAAATTACATATTTTTCTATTTAAAACTAAACTATATGATTCAAATCAATTTTTTTTAAAGAGCATTTAATTATTCTAATAATTCTATTGATATTAGAATTGTTTTCTATCACTTGTATAAGATTATCTGTAACTTTTATTCTTGATATTTAGTTCGGCCATATAATTTATTTAATTTTAACGAAATTGATCATTTCAAATAGATATGAAATTATTGAAAATATTCATCGTAATTTCAAGACAGGTGGTTTTGCATGAATTTTAAATTGCTAGAAAATTGGCAGATAATTAAAGTTACGATTGTAATTTAGCTTTTTTCTTTCTATATTACATGATGCATGTACATTATGTGTTGTTGGTATGAACAAGCTTGCATGATAAAATTTATTTCTAATTCCAATTATAAACTAAACTTTGATATTTTTCTATATTTATTTTTAACAATGTAATGAAGTCTAATTCTTAGACAAAAATCATGAATATAATCGAAAAGTGTTTTCTGGATCATTATTATGTTCTCAAACAGATGAAATATTGTATATGATTAGTAAAGAGTAAAATAAATTTAATTAGATTACGATATATACAACAATCGATTATATTAATGGTCAGCTCAAATTTTTATATAATATTTACCTTTTTTTGCATCTGCTCACATTTTATTCGTTGCTCGGTTTGTTTTTCTTTTCTTTCTTCTTTCTTCTTTCGTTCCTTTAACATGCAATACAAGGTCTAAAATATAGGTTGTGTTATTATTCATTTTATGTTTATGTTGTTTGTTTCATAGAGTAATGATGACGAACGAAACATCCGAGTTGATATTAAAACCAAGTGAAACAAATGTTCATCATCGTCGAAATAAAACTAATAATTCAATTTCTACTGCATCAGAATCTGAGAAGCCAGCTACTCGACAATCACTTATTTCACGGTTAACATCATATTTTACATATAAAACATCAAAGAAAATTGATACTGATGATAATAAAAAAGAATATCAAACAAAATCAACACAACGTCCATGGTTATGTAGAAATTTATGCTGTAAATTATTTTTCTTTATTTGTTTAAGTTTTGTTATTGTGTATTTACGACCGGATTATTCCATTTCGATACGAAATTCAATAGAAAATATTTTAAAAAAATATAATTTAACATCTGAAGAATTTCAACTTCGTCCTGGACAACGTTTAGCACAATATCGACAAGCATCAATGCCAATTATTATTATACCAGGTATTATATCAACTGGTTTAGAATTATGGGAAGGAACAGAGTGTACAAATGGAAAATTTCGTCATCGTTTTTGGACATCAATGCAAATGGTTGATAGCATTGGTCGAGATCATCAATGTTGGCTTAAACATATATCACTTAATCTTTCAACTTGGTATGTAGAAAAAAAAACAAAGACTTATGATAAAGATAGTATTAAATTTCCTTTTATAAATAATTGTTTATGTTTAAAAACAAAAATAATAAATTGTGTCAAAAATAATGAATTCTATTTCTATTTTCTTTATATAGGAAAGATCCCGAATCAATTCGTCTTCGACCAGTACTTGGTTGGGCTGCAGCTGATTATGTGTATGTAATTTTTAATATTTAATTTCATCATTATAATATTTCTTTTGACTAGTTAGATTTCCTGGCTATTGGTTATGGAGTAAAGTAATACATAATTTAGCTGATATTGGTTATGATCCAACAAATTTAGTAACACTCGGTTATGATTGGAGATTACCACCACAATTTCTTGAAGAACGTGATGGTTATTTTACACAATTAAAATTTTATACAGAATTTCTTCGGTAAATTAATTTATTTGTAGAATTTTTATTTATTGGGCTTTTTTTTCTTTCTTATAGAAAAAAACATGGTGAAAAAGTTGCATTATTAACACATTCAATGGGAGCTAATTATATTTATTATTTTCTTCGATGGGTTACAGAACAAGCAGGTGATCAATGGGTTGATGAAAAGTTGAGAAAGAAAAAAAAATAATACCAAAATTATTTATTGTATAATTAATTGATTTTTGTTTGTTTGTTTGTTTTCTTATAGTGTCGCAACATTTCTTAATGTTGGTGGACCATTATTAGGTACACCGAAAGCACTTAGTTCTGTTCTATCTGGTGAAATGAAAGATACAGCTGTATTAGGTGATCTTGGTCGAAATATTCTTGGTAAAGTTGTTGGTAAACTTGTTGTATTTCCAAGATTTTTTCGTGCATTGGGTAGTATACCATCAATGTTTCCACGAGGTAGATCATTTTTTTT